GACCTGTTGGAAAAAGTGAACAGTTACGTTCTCCCGCCTGCAACTCGTGTCGGCATGGATCTGCAGCACTTTAAGCAAAGGAAAAGAAAGAGGGACAGAGGGTAGAAGATAGAAATTCATAGAAAGAGTTACATACACTTACAGTTTATAATAACTAAATCACAGAAAAGACACGAGCTTCATATTGAGTTTTAGGACTGAGATTGTGGCAGCTAGCGTACAGCGAACTGAATTCGTACCTATTAATAACATTAACGCTGTTGTTGATGAAAGATGTGAATCAAGAGTAGTTGTGGATAATAATGTTAAAGTTGATAAGTTAGAATTATAATTATCTATCCATTTAAGGCCAGAAATGGCTTTTACTATTATTGAATACGATGATGTAGTAATGGTCGATGGTACATAGTTACCATGACTATCTGTGAGGACAAAATACATAGGTGTAGTTGGAGATGATTGAAGAGTAGCCATTTTAAAATGGAATAAGATGCTTTGAATAAAAGGTAGAAGATAATAAACCTAAATGTTAGATATTTGTTAAATATGATGATATATGCAATCTTTGCCAAGTGAGCTCCTCACAAGTAGAAAATACAAGTTGTTATACTATAAGTCGTATATATATATATTTGAAATGGAGTATTAGAGAAGCGGTTGCAATGGGACAATCAACTGAGGTAGATCAAGGAGAGGATGAGCGATTGAATATACCTTATGACAGGTGGGTAGTGCTGAGGGAAAGGAAATGTGTTTTAATGAGGAAAATATATTTAATGATATGTTTAATCGACAATTATATGTCGCAAGTCACAGACATGGACCCGTGATTCTATATTTTTTTGTTCATCACGAACAATGTAAATAGGATGAGATGTGTGGATGATGACTTTCGGTGTTGGAGAAAATATAGGATCGAGTTTTCCTTTTATACCATGAACTCGTGTAAGAACTCTATCACCAATGTTGTAAATGGGATCTGTACGATTTCTGTCATAATATATCTTATTTCGAGCCTGTTGTTGTATGATATTAAATCTAGTTGCCTGATGATAAAGTTTCAGTGTCTTTTTTAGTTGTTCGAAATAGTCATTGGGTTGTTGAAAGGAGAAATGAAATGGTTTCGGATGAAAGGGAAGGTGAGGAGAGCGGCCGTAAAGTAATTCATAAGGCGAATATTTAGTTGTTTTGTGCGTTCCAGAGTTATAAGCAAAAACAACTGCTTGTAAATATTCATCCCAGTTATTATTTTCGGAATCTTGCAATTTAGAGATTTGTGGAATGAATGTACTGTTAAATCTTTCTACTATTCCATTTGTCTGTGGATGATACGGAGTACTATAAATGTGATTATATCCAATCAACAAGCGCATATTAGACAGTAACTGATTACGAAAATGAGATCCTTGGTCGGTTATAATTAAGGAAGGTACACCAAATTTACAAAAATATTCATTGAATAAGGCTTCAGCAGTTTTTTCAGCAGAACAATTAGGTAAGGGAATAGCTACAACATGTCGAGTGAAATAGTCGGTTATTATTAATACATAACGATTTTCACGTGGTGTTCTTTTAAGGGGACCACAAAAATCCATACCGATGACCTGAAAGGGACCCTCGGGAGGTGAAATTGAACTAAGTCGTCCAGGTTTTTTCTGGCGCCCAATGTTATATTGTTGACATAAAAGACAGGACTTTATATATTGTTTTATAGAATATTTCATATGAGGCCACCAGTAATGTTTTCTTAGTTTGCTATACGTACGATCAACAGAAAAATGTCCCCCAGACATAGGATCGTTATGACATGCATGAAGGAGTGAGGAAATCATGGAGTTGGGGAGATAAATTACTTCAATTTTTGTTTTTGATAAACGAAAGGGGATAATTACTTTATAAAGAATATCATTCTTTATTTTAAATGGCATGCTTTGTGGATTTGAGCGTACTTGTGTAATACATTTCTGTATAAGTGGATCTTTCTGTTGTTCATCTTTCAACTTCGTAATGTCAAAATTATTAGTGGAAAAGGTGGAAGTTATGTGAGTTTTCATTAATTGATCAGGTGTGTTAGAATGACATGGTAGATTGTTATTATATATATTTCCATTGTCATTAGATGAAGAAGATTTGTTATAGTTTCCTCTATTGTTGCGTGGGCGTAAGGTCATGCTAGCTACTATATTATTTGTTGAAGATGTTATTGGTGCAGAATTTGTTTTACTGACAAGTCCATATTCAATATCAAATAGTTCATCATTTTGTTCACGGGGATATCGAGACAAATAATCAGGTAAACAATTTTGACGTCCATGAATGTGAACTACTCTATCAATATTGTATTCTTGAATTAACGTTGAAATTCGATCTACTCTTGCATTGTTAACTGTTTTTGTCATTATATGACATAATGGACAATGATCGGTCATTATCGTAATTTGTCGGCCTAACAGAAGTGGTCTCATACGGACAAAACATTTATATATAGCGAGAGCTTCCTTTTCTATGGTGCTATACTTTCTCTCACAAGGTGTCAATAATTGTGAATGATAGTACAAATTATGTAAATATCCATCTACTTCTTGTTGTAATACGCCTCCTATACCAATGCCACTAGCATCTGTTGTTAAGATTAAAGGTTTATCATCTATAGGAAAATGTAAAAAGAGTGGTGTAGATATTAAACGTTCTTTAAGTTGTTTAAATGCTTGTTTTTGTGCAAATCTCCAATGAAATTTATGGCGATTATTTTTAGTGAGATTTGTTACAGCATGTATGGGGGCTGCGATAGTGGCAAAATTAGGTAAGAACTTACGATACCAGCTGAGAGCACCAAGAAACTTATTGGCTTGAGATAAAAGATGGGGTTCCTTAATATCAAGGATTGCTTGTATTTTTTCTTTCATAGGTGTAACTACCTTCGCGCTAATCGTGTGACCTAGGTAATTTATTTCTGATACTAATAGAACACATTTAGATGGATTTAAAACGAAATTTCGGTTACTTAAGGCTATGAATACTTGGGTTAAATGTGAAATATGATCATCATATGTTTCGGAAAAGACAATGATGTCATCGAGATAAACGAGAGCAAATTGACGACAGGGTGTTAATACATTAGTCATAACCTTCTGGAAAGTAGGTGGGGAATTCTTAAGTCCCATTGGAAGGACATTGAATTGAAAAAGACCGAATGGAGTGGTGAAAGCGGTTTTTTCCTTATCAGCTTCTCTGATAGGGATTTGATAGAAACCAGATTTAAGATCCAATTTAGAGAAGTATTTATAACCTTGCCCTAGTTTTTGTATAGTATCTTCCATGTTTGGTAAAGGTGACGAATCTTTGATGGTGATTAGATTTAACTTCTTATAGTCAACTACAAAACGATGTGTACCATCATGTTTTTTAACTAAGAAGGCGGGTGCCGCATACGGAGAATGAGATTCAGCTACTAGTTTAGCCTTTAGGAATTCTTGAATCATATTATACATTATCTCGACCGTGTCAGGTTGTGGGTAGGGTTTACAAGCAGGGGGTGAATGTGGGATAGTATTAATGACATGATGGATAGGGGTATTAGCTATATTATGTTTAGTAGTATCGAATATTTTATGAAAACGGAAAAGAAGTTGAAGAAGGTCATCTCGTTGTTGTTTTACATGTATTTTACTAATTAACTGATGAATATCTCTTTCAGTTGAGGGATGGATTTGGTTAACTGTAGCACAACAGAGAGGGTCTTGAATTTGATTATTCGTACACGTATTATTATTTGAAGCATGAAAATCTGGTGATTCACCAAGTGCATTGGTGACACCACATGACTTCTTACAATGATTAAAACGTTTTGTACTAGGTTGAGTAATAGCATAATGACATAGATATCCAATACGAGTTCCTCGAGGAACAAAATGTGGTCGAGGTGAAGTATTAGAAAATGTAACACGTGAAAAATGATTACGAAATTCAAGAAACTTATGTGGAATAAATGACGTATTACATAGAGAAAATTGATAATAAGGAATGAAATGTGAACTGATGGATGAAATAGGAATAGATACTTTAGCAAAACGATTTGATTGACGAGGAATATATAACGAATCGGATAGAGTAACAGGAATAAATTCGGTTTGTACATTCTGATTGGTTTTCATTTGGTACTGACGATTATTCAAGTCAATAGAAACTATTTGTTTACGGATATTAAACTTAAGATTGTATAGGGTTATATAATCCATACCTAAGATTACATCAGTACATAGATTTCGAGCTACATGAGCCGATATTGTTGTTATTTGATCAGAAAATAATATTTGTAATTCAACTACACCTAGAACATGAAATGGGGCTATACCATCAGCAAGAACAAAAGAAGAGGAATGTTTATTTAGATTTGTGGATTGATTAATAGACTGTAATGTTTTATAATTGATGAAAGTATTGGTGGCTCCAGTATCGATCAATATTTGCATATTATGATTGTTAACTAGAGTATTTATGAAAATTAAAGATATAGTTGATGGATTTTTTGTTGTCTTTTCGGAGTCAACACCATCTTGCGATGACTCCGGTACTAGAAACGTGAACAGGCAGATGCCTGATGTCCTGTCTCTAGACATTGTGTACACATGTCAAAATTTGACAAAAGTGGTGTAGGTTGAGGAGATGGTGCGATATGGTTCTCGGTGATATTATTAACTTGATGTCTCTGATTATTAGCTTGATTAGAATTATTGGTGTTACTATTATGTGGATATGATGATTTATATTGATTATTTGATGACACCGGGCGAAAATTATTATTTGTACGTTGAATATTAGAATAAAATTGTTGATTAAATTTCGCTGGTTGGTGAGAAAGATATGATGAATTATTTCGTCGAAAAGATGAATTGAAAGGATTAGATGATTGAGATGGATTAAATGGTTGAGAAGAATGAAAATTATAATCATTACTTCGATTGTTGTTAAATTTATTACTATTATAGTAATTATTATAGTTCGTTTTTCTATCATAGATAGGAAAGGGAGTTGAATCAATACGTGGATTTGAAGCATTTGGTTGTGGTGATGTTATAGCTGATGCTATTTGGTTAGTGGTATTAGAATTATTACGATCATACGTATCAATCTCGGTATTGATATTAGCTAATTGAAGAAGTTCCTCCGATTCTTTAGCATATTCAAGAAATTGTTTAGTTGTAGTGGGTTTTTTTTTTCTTATTTCGTACTGAAGTGTAGGTTTGGTCTTTTTGAGAAGATGTCGAAGTTTCATTGACTCGCTCATTTCAGGATCTGTTTCGGTACATAATTTTAAAACTTCGTTATAGAAACTTCTCACAGGTTGGTTGATTCCTTGTGTATAGGATTCAAGTTTTTTAAAGGCTAACTCCTCATGGAAGGGGGAGAGAAATGCTTCCTTCAATTCCTTTACAAATATTGGCCACGATGTTAATGTGGCTTTGGTATTTTTGTACCATCGACGGGCTTCGCCTCGTAAGGAGTACGGAATTAAATCTAATTTATGACTATCTGGAATTTGAGCAGTATCAAAAAGTTGTTCAATGTCCTCTAACCATTGTTTTACATCTTCTTTTCCTCCTTGGAACGTTTTAGGATTTTTAATTAAATTATCTATAATTGCTTTATGAATTACATATGTTGTTTGGTCGAGGTTAGAAGAGTGACGGGAGATGTTAGAAGGTGGTGCAACTGTTGATCGATTTTCGGTTTCATCACCAGTTAGTCTGGTGGCACCCATATCAACAATTGCGGTTGATCTTAAGATAGGACGGGGGGGGTAGATTATCAGTTAGATCAAAATCATTCGCGGTAGCCTTTTGTTGATCTTCAAAGGATATAGTTTTATGAAGTATGGAATTATGTGGAAAATTATTTTGATTTGGTGAGTATGATGATGGATTAGATTGAAAATGACGTATATTATGTTCAGGTACATCATAAGTAGTTAGAAGAATTTCAAGAAAATCGTCGAAGGATTTTATGTTGTTTCTATTTCGCAAATATGTTATTTTAGCATCTCCTTCAATAAGTAAAGGTATAGCTAAATGACGAAGGTCACGTGAGATTTTATGTAAATTAAATTTTTTATCGATGTTAACTAACCAATTGACTACATTTTCTGATCCTGAAAATGGGTTAAAATTATTAAGAATAAATGAATCAAAGTCCAATTTATTCTCATTATCACCGTTATTCGATTCCAAGTCAGAACCCTTTGCTGCATCAATCGGTTTAGGTCGATGGGAAGGGGGTATGATAGTTTGTCGACGTTTTTTATCGATTACAATATTGTCAGATATTGTATTATTTTCAGTTAATTCAATTAAAGATTCCTCATCGATCGTTACTGGACGTGCTGATTCTTTTGTCGATTCAGAATCGGACATTTTTATATCTTTGTTTAAATATAAGATGATGTGATATATGAATTAGTCGATATATTCAATAAGGACGTCTTAAATTACTCGAAATTTTCAACAAGGACGCCCTATATATCCTTGTATTTACAGAAGGGGTCAGGGAATTGTAGAAAATACCCAAAAATAGGAATACAATTGGGTTAAAAAAAATACCCAAAAATAGGAATACAATTGGGTTAAAAAAAAATACCCAAAAATAGGAATACAATTGGGTTCAAAAAATGATATAAGTTATTAAGGAAATGGAATACAAGGGAAGGAAAGTTTTTAATTACACACAAATAGATGTATGTGTATATAGTTAAATATATGTGTATATAGTTAGGAGTATGTGTATATAGTTAGTGAAGCTAATACAGATCCAATAGATTATTGCCCAACTTCTCCACCAAAAATGTTAGCTTTCTCTTTCATCCAAATCTCCTACCCACTAAATGTTAATAGGTCGGAAGGAATCAATAGAAAACTATGATCTGTATTAGCTGGGTTAGTAGAATTAGTAGTCCTACCTTGTCTTGTAGGTTGATGTAATATGGAAGAGGATATAAGTTCAGATGATGAATACGACTTTTATTCAAGGAAAACGTGTCACCCAGATAACACAAAATACACAACTGACTGCTGGGGCAGACTTGTTCATATAAGAACGAGAGAGAGAGACAAAGAGAAAAAAGGAAAAAAAGGAATAATAATAATAATGATAATATGAACATATATGTATATGTCCAAGAAATATCGAACCTCACATAGGTTACATAAAGGAGAACGAAAAGAAAAGAGAAAGGTTAGCGGCAACTATGTAATATCTGTTGACGCTAACAACAGAAAGCAAAGAACACAAGTGCATGACTCTTTCAAGATTAACAAGTTTGAATTTATTTTTCTTGTATATACATAACAATTCAAATGAAAGAATAATAATATAGCCATAGAGTATTCGTCATTTGATGTTTAGTTCTGTTGATTCTGACACCACTCGTGATATTTTTGGATGTAAGGTTCAACGATTGTCCACAGCTGAAACAGATAGATAAGATAGAATAGTAGTTGTAATTCACAAATCTGTGCTTACATCGCCCGATCTTATGATGCGGATTGCTGCCTCGATAGTTGGTGCCATGAATCGATCTTCATCCCATTTGCTATAGAAATCAAATATTGTTTTCACCATGAAAGATAGAAAACAATTGAACTATGAGTGTGTGTGTATACGTACTCAATGGTTTGTCGAACCAGTTTATGAATTGCTTCCAACGGAGGAGTTGTTGTATTTGGACGTTGTAAATCGATAGCTTGACAGGCCATGAGAAGTTCAATGGCCAAAACTAAATTTAATATGTAGTCATATTCAAGTTAGAGTATAGAATAAAGTTAAAATTACTTTTTTCAACATTGTCGATCACCATGAGAGCTTTTCGAGCTGACCAAGCACCCATTGAGACGTGATCTTCCTGTCCAGCACTGGTTGCAATGGTATCGACCGACGACGGATGACATAGACCTTTATTTTCCGATACTAAATATAAATATAAATAGATATTCTAATTAAACATAGATAGGTTATCATAGAAACCAAATGTAAAGGATGCAATCTTTCGACCAAGTCTTATTACAAAAATTCTATTTTCAAATTTACGCAACTTGACTCTACTCGTATGTTCTTATATGATAGTTTCAATTTATTTATCATGCATAATTGTCGCTTAAATTGTAAGACTTAGAGGTTTTTGTGAAACACGATCTAAAAGAGAGTGTTCAAGTACAGGGGTGGAAATTTTGGACCTCCCCCCTCCGCTCCCCACAGACTGTGGCCGACGGAGGTCAAAGACTATTGTAGAGCGTCACAGACCGTGACGGAAGCCTCGACAGGCCATCACAGACCGCGACCGGCTTTACCATGGCTACGTCACAGACTGTGACAGACATTACTATGGAAATATCACAGGTACCATAGTATGCTCTCATTTACAATGCAAGTGAGCAGCTCGATTGTGTTTCACATTTTAATTCCGCAGGGATTGCGCTGAAAGCTTTTTTTGGCAGGCGCTCATTTTTTTTTACAAATCCATCGATTGAAGACCAAGACTAAAAGTTAGTGAAATTACGCCACTAATGACTTTAGACATTTCTAATGTTAAGAAAAATAATTCTCTGTATATTACCCAAAGCAGCTGCTGTATATTGAGGAATCATAAAACCAGAATTAAGACCACCATTGGAAGTAAGAAAGGCAGGTAATTGACTCATTTTTTCTGTGATAAATAGAGTCATACGACATTCGCTCATACTGCCAAGTTCATGGACTCCAATCGCCAAGTAATCTAGAGCCTGGAAAACGAGAAAAGGTGAAAGATTGAAAAAAGAAAATTAATGTAACACACTTTGGCAGGATATTCTCCATGAAAATTGCCACCCGAGATAATTTCTTTTAGATCTACCAAGACGAGCGGATTATCAGTAGCACTATTCATCTCCACTGTAATCAATTTTTGAACAAACATAATTGTGTCCCAAGAAATGCCATGAACCTACATGCGCATAAATAATTACGAGGACATATAAAAAGAATTTATTAGAAAGCCTAACCTGTGGGATACATCGAATAGAATAGGCATCTTGCATCTTGCCACACTGGGCATGACTATCATAAATTTTTGATGGATAAAGTTTGGAGTCAAGTAGTGAACGCAATCGTTGTGCCACCAAATTCTGACCCGTGTAGGGTCGTGATGCATGAATCCCTTAATTATTAATAAAAATATTTTCGTAAAGAGTTTTCAAGTAAAGATACTTACTTGGATGAAACGCACGAACAGTGCCACGTAATCCTTCGGTACTCAGTGCTGCAATAACGTCTGCTTGGCGTGCCAACGAGATTGCTCGTTCAACAGCTAGCAAAATAATCAGATTTAAAATAAATCATTGAATTTCTTTTGTCTCACCTTCTGCTCCCAGAGCAGTAATGAATTGTGTTCCATTGACCATAGCTAAACCCTGCAGAGAATAGTAGAGTGTTGTAGTAAACATCGAAGCTTCGCGAAATGAAATAGTTAGAATTTATCATTTCCACAAATTTTGATTCATTGTTCCTTAGAAAATCTATCAGTTTTGTTTCTGAGATTCTTTCCGAAAAACATTTCGTCAAAGGTGAAAATACAACGTATTCGTTGTTTAAGCACTTGTATGACTATCGGATCATAAAAACGTTCAAAAAAAAATTATCGCTGGCATTTCGAGACTATTAGAACAGGACATTTTTAATGCAATTATAAGGGATAATACGGAATACAAAACATGTTTCCCTACTTCATCTATCAGATGTCTGTTCTTACTTCTTTTGGTTTGTAAACAACTGATTCCAATCCATTCTGATCCAGAACATCCTTTGCATCTCCCCAGTCGGTCTTCGGTGACCACATTCGTCCAGTACCCATTAAAGCTATAACAAATGCAAATCATTATCTAGCAATGATACGTCAGAAAACATTTCTACATACCTGCACTTAAATGAGCTAACGGTGAAAGATCACCAGATGCTCCTACTGACCCTTGACATGGAATTTCAGGAACGCATGATTCTAAGATCGCATATGTAATCAATCATGTATATAATCTGTGTGTATATGACTTACTGTTGAATATTGCAATAACTTTGCGTAGAGTTTCTTCAGAAATTCCAGAAAAACCTTTACTAAGAACATTGATGCGTAGGGCGAAAATCATTCGGGCTCGTTCGATTTCGAGCGGCTTACCCACGCCAGCGCAATGCGAAAGAATTAAACGAGATTGGAGTTCACTGGAACATGAAAACAAGAATGTATTAAATCGCCAAGAACTCGATTTATCGAGACGCGTAATTTCACTTCAATTTAAATCTACTAAGAGAAATCTGATCAAACCTTTTCAGAAATAAATCTCATGGATTTGGACAACAGAATCCTTGATGAAGTCGAATAAAATTTGATCAATACCCAGTATTAACCGATTTATATAATTATTGCCAAGGAACAGAAAAATACTCGTTAGAAATCTTTTTGTTTCTTTAGTGTATGGTAATTTTTTTAATTTCTTTAACATATTTTGATAGGCTTTGATGAAATCGAAAATATTAAAAAAACTGAACATGAACACATATTCACCAAAGGAATTTCAAAACGCAAGTGTTTTTAACGTAGTCGGTTTAAAGATAAAAAATTAACATTCAAAAAAGAATGAAATGTTTACTGAGTGATTCGATTCCGGTATAATCCTCAAAGTTCTGATAGGACCTTCTTAACAACGAGAACCTATTAAAAACGATGGGTTAATTATTCCATTTTAGTATTAACTTCTAACTTAATAAGATTAAATGAATAAAAACAATTCAATCTAATTCACCAAGATTAAATTAGAATTTTCGATTCGTTGGAAACTCTATCTCTTATAGCAGACGTTAAAGACAGACTCACTAAAGCTGATGATCGGGAATGACTGTTTCGGCAAAGGAACCAAAGCCAGTATTGATTCCATACACAACTATATGACAAACAAAGATAATAACACTTATTTTCACGAGAAAAACATACCTTTTTTCTGACGTATAATGTTGTCGATAATCTCTCGTCCTCGTCGAATTAAATCCCATGTTTCTGGTGACAGCTATGAAATAAATAGATTTAAAATAAGTTGGAATAAAGTTTCTCTTTTATCATTACCTCAATACGATATTGACCAGAACCAAGACGAATAAGATCACCAGGCTTCATGTTACAACCATCGAGTGTCATGACCTACATATGTGAAGTTTTATTGTTACGTTCAATTCACTGTAATTAAGCCTTACCTTATGCTCCTCATCCCTATTGGACAATAATTGATAAAATGAATAAACGAAATTAATAAATGAACAATCGTTTCTTTGTGAAAAAAAAACTTACATGATGATGCTTAAGTATTGGCTATCGTCAAGATTACTCATGTTATCTAACACACAATTTCCATTTAACAATATTGCAATCAAATAATGTGAACAACTCACCGATCTGAATCAATTCATTGTCCTTCAGCACTTGTCTAACACAGTCGTTGAGCGACAAAAGACTTCCATCAAAAGCACGTCGAGGCATGAAATGCTGGGGCATAGATGCATTGGGAAACGTTTCTATATACCTGGTAGTGATTTATCGAAAATACAAATCATATTATATCTCAGATTTTTTTCTATCTATATTTACCTTGCGTAAGCAGTTTGGCATAGCCATTTAACACTTTCTTTGCCGGTCTCGCATGGAATGAGGAACCTTTCATTTGTATTATGAATTATAACTGGAATGCGAAGCATTTTACCTTATTTGTATCACACCTATTTAATTAAATTGAAACAGTTAATTACATATCATTTAGTTCAACACTGTCTGTGTGATTCTCGCAAATCTTTCCAGCTTACTGAAGAAACTATCTTTCTTTTATTCCGTATTCTTCTGTCATTATCTCAAACACTGCATCTATGATGTTTCTCTTTCCAGTCACAGGTTAACTATTTTCGAACAATAGAATAAGAAATTCTACCTAAAAAGATTTTCATGTCACATAAACTATATATTGTTTCTCTTAACGACATTACTTTCTACAAATCTTCAATCTTCTATGATCATGACACACTATAGATATGACATAAAGTTGATTTTGCAAGAAGTTTAGAGATCCTTGAGTAGTGACACAACCGGAAAAAATTCCTAAAGGAAGGATCAACCTCTTTTAAGCCCCTGTTATAGTGGCTCATATCTGCATTTACAGCAGTCTCAAAATTTTCTAGGGGGGCTCGAACGTTCATAGGAGAGGTGAGGGGCTAAGCTCCTCTAGTAGAGGCCTGCGGGTACATGTTTTTTGGGGCCCGGGTCCGGTCGGGCCCAGAACCGGCCGCGGTCGGGTGCATATCCAGATCCGGTCGGATACACACTCGGGCCCGGTCGGATGCAGACTCAGACCCGAACCCGGTCAGGCCCAGACTCGGTCTTTTTTTCACCAATATCTGGCACCCTCTGTGTACATGAGCAGATAAATGTACAAGGTTTTAGCTCTTTTTGGCCACTTTATATATTTAGATTCTTAACTTAATGCAAACCGGATCTGAAGCTAAACTTAGGTATAGACCAGGACCCGGCAAAAGCGAAATTTTCAGACCCGGATCCGGACCCGGCCTGGCCCGGGTTTGGAAGGACCAGCAGATCTCTACCCTTTAGCCCCCATCGAGTTACGTTACTATCATTGAGACACATATGCTCAACTAGTTTAACAGTAATATTATTATTTAAAAAAAAACAGATTTTGAAAACAGTTGATATGAATAGTATGTGTTTTTATTTAAAGCAGTAAGGAATATTTCTCTCGCTCTAATGACATTGTAGACAGGTGTATTCGGGTGTGATTCTGGGTATGCCTGAAAAAAGATATGCAAGTGAAGGTTTGTTTGTGGATGTATGTGAAGAGAGTTGTGGAAATGAGGGTGTGATTGTGGGTGTGTCTGAAACGATGTATAGAAATGAGAGTGTGTTGGAAAATGACATAGAGAGTTAATAACACTGAGTCTATGGTCACAATTTATCGGTATATTATTATGAAAATAGAATTAGTAACTCATCGATCCATTCTCTCCCACTTTCACAAAATCTATATGTAATTCAAATGAATTACACAACAGTTTTGATCAGTTTTTTTTTTTGTTGAAATGAGTCACAATAAACTATGAAGTATACAATACAACTTAATGAGTTTGAAAAGAAAAAGACAAAACTTTTGTATAATTCGAAAATAAACATTAATCGATAGGAATATAACATACAGGAGGATGGAATGCTGTTCAATCGAGAATTCTAGATATTTCATGGCGTTGATACAGAAAAAAACAAAACAAAATAGGATTTATTTCGTATTGAATCCAATTGTTTTCATGATGTAGAAAAAAAATAACAAGATTATTAGTCTGCAGTAAGTTCCAAGTTTTGCTTTGCTTATGCATTTAACTATGATGACTCTCCGCTCAAGTAACAACGGATGTGATTCAATCATCCTACCTGTTTTTTTTTNTTCGTTTATCAAAATCAAAAACTGAAGTAATTTATCTCCCCAACTCCATGATTTCCTCTATTGTTGCGTGGGCGTAAGGTCATGCTAGCTACTATATTATTTGTTGAAGATATTATTGGTGCAGAATCTGTTTTACTGTCAAGTCCATATTCAATATCAAATAGTTCATCATTTTGTTCACGGGGATATCGAGACAAATAATCAGGTAAACAATTCTGACGTCCATGAATGTGAACTACTCTGTCAATATTGTATTCTTGAATTAACGTTGAAATTCGATCTACTCTTGCATTGTTAACTGTTTTTGTCATTATATGACATAATGGACAATGATCAGTCATTATCGTGATTTGGCGGCCTAACAGAAGTGGTCTCATACGGACAAAACATTTATATATAGCGAGCGCTTCCTTTTCTATGGTGCTATACTTTCTCTCACAAGGCGTCAATAATTGAGAATGATAGTACAAATTATGTAAATATCCATCTACTTCTTGTTGTAATACGCCTCCTATACCAATGCCACTAGCATCTGTTGTTAAGATTAAAGGTTTATCGGCTATAGGAAAATGTAAAAAGAGTGGTGTAGATATTAAAATTTCTTTAAGCTGTTTAAATGCTTGTTTTTGTGCAAATCTCCAATGAAATTTATGGCGATTATTTTTAGTGAGATTTGTTACAGCATGTATGGGGGCAGCGATAGTGGCAAAATTAGGTAAGAACTTACGATGCCAACTGAGAGCACCAAGAAACTTATTGACTTGGGATAAAAGACGGGGTTCCTTAATATCAAGGATTGCTTGTACTTTTTCTTTCATAGGTGTAACTACCTTCTCGCTAATCGTGTGACCTAGGTAATTTATTTTTGATACTAATAGAACACATTTAGGTGGATTTAAAACGAAATTTCTGTTACTTAAGGCTATGAATACTTGGGTTAAATGTGAAATATGATCATCATATGTTTCGGAAAAGACAATTATGTCATCGAGATAAACGATAGCAAATTGACGACAGGGTGTTAATACATTAGTCATAACTTTCTGGAAAGTAGGTGGGGAATTCTTAAGTCCCATTGGAAGGACATTGAATTGAAAAAGACCGAATGGAGTGGTGAAAGCAGTTTTTTCCTTATCAGCTTCTCTGATAGGGATTTGATAGAAACCAGATTTAAGATCCAATTTAGAGAAATATTTATAACCCTGCCCTAATTTTTGTATAGTATCTTCCATGTTTGGTAAGGGTGACGAATCTTTGATGGTGATTAGATTTAACTTCTTATAGTCAACTACAAAACGATGTGTACCATCATGTTTTTTAACTAAGAAGGCGGGTGCCGCATACGGAGAATGAGATTCAGCTACTAGTTTAGCCTTTAGGAATTCTTGAATCATATTATACATTATCTCGACTGTGTCAGGTTGTGGGTAGGGTTTACNCGGAAAAGAAGTTGAAGAAGGTCATCTCGTTGTTGTTTTACATGTATTTTACTAATTAACTGATGAATATCTCTTTCAGTTGAGGGATGGATTTGGTTAACTGTAGCACAACAGAGAGGGCCTTGAATTTGATTATTCGTACACGTATTATTATTTGAAGCATGAAAATCTGGTGATTCACAAAGTTCATTGGTGACACCACATGACTTCTTACAATGATTAACGCGTTTTGTACTAGGTTGAGTAATAGCATAATGACATAGATATCCAATACGAGTTCCCCGAGGGACAAAATGTGGTCGAGGTGAAGTATTAGAAAATGTAACATGGGAAAAATGATTACGAAATTCAAGAAACTTATGTGGGATAAATGACGTATTACATAGAGAAAATCGATAATAAGGAATGAAATGTGAACTGATGGATGAAATAGGAATAGATACTTTAGCAAAACGATTTGATTGACGCGGAATATATAAGGAATCGGATAGAGTAACAGGGATAAATTCGGTTTGCACATTCTGATTGATTTTCATTTGGTACTGACGATTATTCAAGTCAATAGAAACTATTTGTTTACGAATATTAAACTTAAGATTGTATAGGGTTATATAATCCATACCTAAGATTACATCAGTACATAGATTTTGAGCTACATGAGCAGATATTGTTGTTATTTGATCAGAAAATAATATTTGTAATTTAACTACACCTAGAACATGAAATGGGGCGATACCATCAGCAAGAACAAAAGAAGAGGAATGTTTATTTAGATTTGTGGATTGATTAATAGATTGTAATGTTTTATAATTGATGAAAGTATTGGTGGCTCCAGTATCAATCAATATTTGCATATTATGATCGTTAACTAGAGTATTTATGAAAATTAAAGATATAGTTGATGAATTTTTTGTTGCCTTTTCGGAGTCAACACGATCTTGCGATGACTCCGGTACTAGAAACATGAGCACCCAGATGCCTGATGTTCTGTCTCTAGACATTGTGTATACATGTCAAAATTTGACAAAAGTGGTGTAGGTTGAGGAGATGGTGCGGTATGGTTCTCGGTGATATTATTAACTTGATGTCTCTGGTTATTAGCTTGATTAGAATTATTGGTGTTAATATTATGTGGATATGATGATTTATATTGATTATTAGATGACACTGGGCGAAAATCATTGTTTGTACGTTGAATATTAGAATAGAATTGTTGATTAGATTTCGCTGGTTGGTGAGAGAGATAGGATGAATTATTTCGTCGAAAAGATGAATTGAAAGAATTAGATGATCGAGATGAATTAAATGGCTGAGAAGAATGAAAATTATAATCGCTACTTCGATTGTTGTTAAATTTATTACTATTATAGTAATTATTATAGTTCGCTTTTCTATCATAGATAGGAAAGGGAGTGGAATCAATACGTGAATTTGAAGCATTTGGTTGTGGTGATGTTATAGTTGATGCTATTTGGTTAGTGGTATTAGAATTATTACGATCATATGTATCAATCTCAGTATTGATATTAGCTAATTGAAGAAGTTCCTCCGATTCTTTAGCATATTCAAGAAATTGTTTAGTTGTAGTGGGTTTTTTCTTTCTTATTTCGTACTGAAGTGTAGGTTTGGTCTTTTTGAGAAGATGTCGAAGTTTCATTGACTCGCTCATTTCAGGATCTGTTTCGGTACATAATTTTAAAACTTCGTTATAGAAACTTC